GACAGGGTCTCATCCAGCTGCGGTGGAGGAGACGCGGGTCTGGGCTGAAGCGGCGCCGGGAGACGCCGGACCCCCGCAGCAGGCGCAGCCCCGGGCCCCGCAAGGCCCCGACCCCGCCTCCCGAGGCCGCCTTCGCCTCGCTGCGGCAGCACGCGGGGCCCGCACCCCCGGGCAGGCCCGCTCCCCGCCCCGCAGCCCGCGGGGCCCTGGTACCTCGTCGTCGTCGTCCTCCTCCAGCTCCTCCTCGGTCTTCTCCGCGTCGCCCTTCGGCAGCAGCTCGTCCGGGGACAGGGGTTCCCCGGCGCCCGCGGCGGCAGCAGCAGCGGCAGCGGCCATGGCTGTGGGGGACACCGGAAGCGGAAGGGAGGAGGCGAGCGCGGCGCGGCGGCGGACAGAGCGGCCCTTCCGGGAATCGAGACGCGCGCGGCGGGAGAGAGCGGCGCCTCCGCTCGGCCGGTCCCCGGCGCCCCTGGCCCCGGCAGCGGGCGGGCGGCGGCGGGGAAGGCTGCGGGGGCCGCGGGGCGGTGTGGCGTGGGCCTTTGGCGAGCCTCCCCGGGACCGCGCCTCGACAGACCCTGGTCCAGGATCTTGTCCCCGGGCGCCGAGTTACTCGGTGGGAATGAAGACTTGGAGGTTTGGGGGGAAGCGTCAGGTCACGGCCAGAGGCCTCAAATGAAGGCTGACCCTTGAGTGCCGGGCCCTGGCGTGCGTCTGAGTGGGCAGTGTCCGCGCTCTAACCCTAACACCTGGACGTAGAGCTGTCATCTCCATTCTACAAGCGAGAAAAACGGGCCGGGGAGAAGGCCGCCGTGGGTTCGAGTCCCGGCTGCGCCACTTCCGCTCCAGCTCCTGGCTAATGGCCTGGGAAAGCAGTGGAAGATGGTCCAGGTCCTTGGGCCCCTGCGCCCACATGGGAGACCCGGAGGGAGCTCCTGGCTCCTGGCTTTGGCCTGCGCCCGCCCTGGCCGGTGCCATCATTTGGGGGAGTAAACCCATGGATGAGGACCTCTGTCCGCGTTGCTCTGCCTTTCAAGTAAATCTTTAAAATTTTTTTTGAAATCCATGCATATGAACGGGCTTCCAGAAGTTCATGGAAAATGCGTATTTTGAAAAAGCTGCATGCATTTCTGCATTTTTTGCACCAAATCTTTTACTTTCCCGTGAACCTTTCGCAGTCCCCCTGTACTTTCACAATAGTGGACAGAAATACCCTTTGCCCCACACCCTCCCAGCGCGAGGGGATGTGCATTTGGCCTGTATGATGGACGCAAATGCTGCTTTGTGCGCTGTGCTCCCTGGGTCGTGAGTGCCAGGGTGACCTGATGCAGACCTGGGGCCAGTCGGCCATGGACTCCGACCCCAAGGACCGGACAGTCAGACCTTCCCCTGACATGTGCCCTGGAAGCGAGGGGTCTGTCGTGTGGCGCCTGCAGGGGACACGGGGCTCGCGATCCCTCCTGAGCTCCGGCCTTTCCCTCTTCCCACTGCAGGCTTTCCCATCACAGAAGGGTAGCAGCTGTCTGATTCCACTCAGGTTCCAAACCAGGCACACACCAACCCACGGTGAGGAGTCAGCAGTGATTCCATTTGGGAGGAGGGGGAGTGACTCCCAGGATTCTGGAAGGTTCCGGGCCTGGGTGGTGTGGACTCGGGCATGATAATTTTCTGAGAATTCCTCACGCTGTAGCACACTTAGGAATCCCATTCTTGTTTGCTTGTGTTAAAAAGCCTATTTTCAGGGGCCCTGTGCTGTGGTGCTGCCATCCCCTGTGGGTGCTGGTGTCCCCACTGCTTTCCCAGCTGCGTCAGGAAGCAGGAAGCTGGATCAGACGTGGCGCGGGGTGAGCGCTGTGGTGTAGTGGGTGGAACTGCTGCCTGGAGCACCAGCATCTCACACCGGCCGCTGGTTCAAGCCCCAGCTGTTGCACTCTCGACCCAGCTCCCCCTGCTGGTGTGCTGGGAAGGCTGGCAGCGGAACATGTTCCCCACGTGCTTGGGCCCCCCCAGCAGTGCGGGAGACGGAAGAAGCTCCTGGCTCCAGCCTGGCTGTTGCAGCCATGTGGGGAGTGAACCAGCAGGTGCACGGTCTCTCTCTCTGCCCCTGCCTCTCCTTCCTTTCTTTATCAGATAAATAAATCTTTTTTAAAAAAACATCAATCAGGACACAAACTGGCACCCACATGGGATGCCGGCACTGCAGGCGGCGGCTTTACCCGCTACACCGCAGCGCCGGCCCCAGTTCAGTTCTTAACTGGGGAGGCGGGCCTGAACCCCTTCGAGAAACCTATGAAGCCAAGCCCCTCCCCCAGAGCATGCCCGTCAGCCGGCACCTGGGCAGCTGTCCCGACGGACACTTGCCCGGCTTTCCTCTGTGACGGTCCTTCCCTGAGCCACCGCCCAGCACAGTGGCCTTGGTGATGACGCCGGCACATCTGGGAGACCTGCACTGTTTCTCGGGGAGGGGGGGTCCATTAGTGGCAGGTTTGCCTGACAGCGGCTTTGAGGTGGACACAGCTGAAAGTCTCCGCATCCGCACAGGAGACGAAGCCAGAACTTCGCCCTGGGCCTGCCGCGCACCCCTCTCTCCGCACGCAACAACAGCTCGCTCCCCTGCCCAGAATCCTTCCCTGCGAAGCCGCCGGCATCTGCAGGGCCCCGGCCCCAGGCCCCTAAGGTAGGGCTGGCAGTGGTGGTGACAAGTACGCCCCACGCGATGCCCTGGCGTCCAGCCCTGTCACCTCACTGGGTCAGTTCCTTCCCCGGAAAGATGAGGACGAGGAACAGGTGCTGGCCTTGGTGTGCCTGTTTTGGCACCTAAGGGCTGCCACGCTGTGTCTGCTGGACCCTTCTACCTCTGCCCTGGACACTCCCCCTGCACAGAAAGGCCGGTCATGGTCATGGTCACGGTCACGGGCTGCAGCTGCAGACTGTTCTCTTCTGCTTCCCCCAGAATGCTGTGCTGGCCCTAAGGCGAGGCGGCCCCGGCCCCACTTCCACAGTGGGCTGGGAATCACACAGGCTCCACTGCTTGTGCCGCAGGCCCGGGGCCACACTGTGCTCCTGGGAGTGCCTGCTGCAGGGGGTGGGGCCCAGGGGAACGCAGAGCGGGTGTGCAGAGCAGAGCCCGGGGCCAGAGCGGTCTCCGGTCTGGGGGAAGTCCTTGGGGAATGTGTATTATGAAAGAATGGGGAAGTGCTCAGGACGCTGCTTGGAATGCCTGTGCCCCACTGTAGGCGTGCCTGGGTTCAAGTCCCAGCTCTGCTGAGATTCCAGCTTCCTGCTAATCCCACCCTGGGGGCAGCAGGGGGTGGCGCAGGAAATTGGGTCCCAGCCGCCCTGCGGGAGACCCGGCTGGAGCTCCTGCCTCCGGGCTGCGCCCTGGCGCCCAGTCCTGATTGCTGTGGGCGTCAGAGGAGTGAACCAGCAGATGGGAGCTCCGTCTCCCTGCCTTTCAAATAAGCGAAAAACATCTTTAAGTGGTGAATTTATCTGAAAGAGTTACAGAGAGAGAGGAAGAGGCAGAGATCTTCCATCCACTGCTTCACTCCCCAGATGGCCACAATGGCCAGAGCTGGGCCAGGCTGAAGCCTGGAATCAGGAGCTTCTTCGGGGGCTCCCACACAAGTGCAGGAGCCCAAGCACTCCATCTGCTTTCCCAGGCCATTAGCAGGGAGCTGGATCGGAAGTGGAGTAGCTGGGTCTTGAACCAGTGCCCATATGGGGTGCCAGCACTGCAGGTGTCAGTTTTACCCGCTACACCACAACGCTGGCCCCAATAAGTAGTAAAAATTAAAAAAAAATTCATGGACTTAAAATTTTTTTGTGCCAAAACAAACTAATTTTTTAAAAGATTTATTTATTTGAAATAGTTACAGAAAAGGAGAAGCAGAGGCAGAGAGAGAGAGCGCATCTTTTTTTTTTTTTTTTTTTTTTTTTTTTGACAGGCAGAGTGGACAGTGAGAGAGACAGAAAGGTCTTCCTTTGCCGTTGGTTCACCCTCCAATGGCCGCCGCGGCCGGCGCACCGCACTGATCCGATGGCAGGAGCCAGGTACTTACCCTGGTCTCCCATGGGGTGCAGGGCCCAAGGACTTGGGCCATCGTCCACTACACTCCCGGGCCACAGCAGAGAGCTGGCCTGGAAGAGGGGCAACCGGGACAGAATCCGGTGCCCCGACCGGGACTAGAACTCAGTATGCTGGCGCCACTAGGCAGAGGATTAGCCTAGTGAGCCGCGGCGCTGGCGAGAGAGCGCATCTTCTAACCACCGCTTCACTTGCTTCACTTCCCAAATGGCCACACCAGTCAGGAGGGCTGGGCCAGGCCAGAGCCAGGAGCCAGGGGCTTTACCACCAACACTGGGAGGTAACAGCCCCCGGAAATGCTGGCCACAGCAGCTGCCCCCGCCCAAGCCCTGGGCTCCGTGCTCCCAGCTCCGGGGCCCACCACTTGACTCCGCGAGCTGGGTTCTGTCCTCCACCCAGAGGGTCCAGCACGACGCTCCCACCAACCAGCAGGAGTCTGCAGGCCCAGGCCGGCGCTAACTCCCGGAGCAGGAGGGCAGGGAGAGCCCTCTGTTCCCGGCGGCCCCAGACACAAGGTGAAACCCCCGTGCTCTCCCGCCACGGCGCCATTTCCCCGGCCCCTGCACATCCCACCGTCCAGCGGGCAACAGGAGCCACAGCCCAGGCTGTGCCCCTCCCCGAGCGGCCCAGGCTTCCTCTCTGAGTCACTGTGGCCGTGGGAGTGTTTACCACCGTTTAATAAAAAACAAGTAGTGTGAAAGAAAGTAGCACAGGAACAGAGTGGCCGTGGCAGGCTGGGGCTTGCTGTAGGGAAGCGGACGCCGGAGGCGGCTGTGGGTGTGGGGAGCGAGGTCTTTAAAGGCGGGGAGAGAGTGGCCCGGGCGGCAGGGAGACCCCCACTCCCAGCCCTCTAGAATGGGTGCGGCCATCGCCAGTGGCGAGGGTGAGCCGGGAACGCCAGCCGCTCCGCACAACAGCGCCTGCGTGCCTGCAGCAGGGCCGCTCCAGAGTGCGTCTGGAACAGCGCTGCCCTGGCCTGGAACCCACAGCGCCTACCTGCTGCTGCCCCGAAGGGCCAGCACTTGGCCGAGCCCTTGAATGATACTCTCCAAGGGCCCAGTCCACCACGTTGGCTAAAAAAAAAAAGACCCAAAAACCTGCTCCGCCACCTCCCCCTCAGCCAGCGGGGTGCTCCCTGCTCCCCAGCACGTCTGCGGGGCCTTCACTTTCTCCGCCGGCTGACGCTCTTCAGCTCGTCCAGTTCCTTCTCCATCACGTGGGACTCGGCAGTAGTCTCTGCAAGCTGCGAGGAAAAGGCACGCGGTTGGGAGGGGCATCTCCGGGCGGCCAGCCTGTGTGCCCGGGGAAGGCCTCCCGCATTCAGCCACACCCCCTGGGAGTTCTCAGCCCCTTCTCTGGGCTGGGAAGCTCGGCCATGATCCGGGACCACAGCGCCTGAGGAATACTGAGAATCGCGGGTGGGTGTCTGGTGCAGCTGCTATCGCTAGACGCCTGGGCTCGAAGCCCAGCTCCACCTCCTGTTAATGTGCACCTTGAGCGGCGGCAGCGATGGCGACCCAGCAGAGTCGCAGGCACCCGGCGTCATCCTGCCCCAGCCCTGGCTGTTGCAGGCGTTTGCGGAGTAAAGTAGCAGATGAAAGATCTGTCTCTCTGGCTCCCAGTTTTTCAAATAAAATGAAAATTAGTAAGCAAAAAAAAAAAAAAAAAATTTAAAAAGAACAGTCGTGGTGTCGGCTGTCAACACTGTGTCCGCCCACGACTGCGTGGCACTTGCTGTGTGATGCACAGCGGGCCTCGGGGCGCACGGGGCGCACGGGGCGATGCTGCGGCTAGATCGGCTAGATCGGAGCTCCGAGTGAGGCCACGGAATGGGGTTAGGGAGCAGTGCGCTACCGAGAATGCCGCTTTCCTCATCAGCACGTCTTTAATGGACTGTAGAAGGCAGAAGACACTCAAGCGAGGCACGGAGACGCCTCAGTCCCTGGGGACTGCCGTGCGTCACACCGGAGTGCCTGGGTTCAGTTCCCGGCTGCCGCTCCTGACCGCAGCCTCCAGTGGAAGAGGCAGTCAACGGGAGGCCTGGGGCACTTCCCAGCTCTTGGCTCTGGCCTTGGGCTTTGGGGAGTACACCAGAGAACAGAAGCACGCTCTCTCTGCTTCTTCCTCTTAGTTTTTAAAAATTAAAAAAAAAAAAAAAAAAAAAAAGAGGAAAGAAATGAGGGCACGGAGTGGTTCGCCGGTGGTGGGGCTGGGCCAGGAACGCAGGCCACGTAGCTCCAGAAGGAACGCTCTGAACCCCAGCAGCCTTCACGCGCAGCACCGGGCACAGCCGGACACAGCCAGGCACAGCTGGGCACAGCTGGACACAGCCGGGCACAGCCAGGCACAGCGGGCTGCTGGGGTTCGACGCATGCTCGCTGGGTAAGGGACGGCTCCAAGCTATGAGCCAACTGTTCCCCTCCCGGGAAGCCTGCATCCCAGCCCCCACTCCTGTCCACCGTCACATTCAGCTCTGCCCAGCTCTTCCACACAATCCCTCTCCCCCGTGCTGAGCGGGACCGACGGACTGCCGCAACCATTCACTGCCTGCCTGCCTGAGGGGAGGGACTGCGAGGCATGCGTTTTGTCTTTGCATATAAAGCAACACAGCTGGGCAAACCGGCACTGAGGCCACAGCAGCCGGATCCAAAGACTGGAGGCTGAGCCCTCCGGAAAGGAGAGCCAAGGGAGCCCCCCAACCCAGGCCTGCAGCTGGTCCGAGGACAGAGCCGAGGCGGCCCCTCCCCCAGGCCAGCGGCGGGTCCTGAAGACAGAGCCGAGGGAGCCCCCCCCAGGCCAGCGGCTGGTCCTGATAACAGAGCTGAGGCGGCCCCTCCCCCAGGCCAGCGGCGGGTCCTGAAGACAGAGCCAAGGGAGCCCCCCAACCCAGGCCAGCGGCGGGTCCTGAAGACAGAGCCGAGGGAGCCCCCCAACCCAGGCCAGCTGCTGGTCCGAGGACAGAGCCGAGGCGGCCCCTCCCCCAGGCCCTCCTCACCATGTCCAGCAGGATGTCCACTTTGAGCCGCAGGAGATTGTTCTCTTCCTCCAGCTGCTGGTTCCGCCTGCGAAGGCGCTGGGCCTCCCTCCGGTCCACGGCTCCGCCAACCTCTGGCCCCCGAGGAAGCACAGAACCCCAGGCTGAGAGGGAAGTCTCCCGCTGTCATCTCGCAGCACAAAGGGGCAGGAAATGCAGCCCACCTGTGATCCACTGGCCATTCTCGAACTTGAGGCTCTGCCCCGCCAGGGTCATGGTAGGGGTCCCGTAGTCCAGGCCGAGCTCCACCTCCCGGGTCGAACGATCCAGCTGCGGGCGAGACACTGCGTGGTGGCTGCAGAACACCAGAGCGGGGCCCGGTCCCAGCTCCTCGTCCCCAAGAACGCCTTTCTCTTCTCTAGTCATTATCTAGCACCTGGAATGCTCTTTCAAAGGCCAGAAAAGCCAAATAATGCAGAACAAAGCATGCTAATGAGAGAAGTGTATTGCAATGCACTTGATGAGTTCCAGAGAGAGAAGTGTACTGCTTTATGCACTTGATGTGTTCCAGAGAGAGAAGTGTACTGCTATGCACTTGATGAGTTCCAGAGAGAGAGAAGTGTACTGCTATGCACTTGATGAGTTCCAGAGAGAGAAGTGTACTGCTATGCACTTGATGTGTTCCAGAGAGAGAAGTGTACTGCTATGCACTTGATGTGTTCCAGAGAGAGAAGTGTACTGCTATGCACTTGATGTGTTCCAGAGAGAGAAGTGTACTGCTTTATGCACTTGATGTGTTCCAGAGAGAGAGAAGTGTACTGCTATGCACTTGATGTGTTCCAGAGAAGCTGTTTCGCTGACATCTGCAAGTGGGATTGTTTCACACCTCACACAAGCACACTGTGACTTTAAGAGTGTGACAGTCCTTCCTAAATGTGTCATCAGCAATCACCTGCTTGGGTGTCATGGGGGAGGCCCCAGTCCAACCCGCAAGGAGCAGCCGCCGAGTTTCAGTGGGCGCCGGCACAGTCCAAGGCGGCGCTGGGTCCTGGACCTCAGCGAGGGCCGTCATCACCTCGTCACCTCTGCCTGCCGAGCTCTCGTCCCGCTGAGACCTGAGCGCTCAGTGCGGGAGGCCTTCCGGGACGCGGTGCCCATGGCTCCTCTGGGGCGGGCCTTCCTGGCCGGCCCACCCAGGATGACAGCTCCACGCCCATGCCAGCTCTGCCCCTCACCCCGCACTGCTGTTTGATATAAACCTACTCATTTTCTGTGCTCTTCCCCAGTAAAACATTTGCTCTGTGAGGACAAGGATTTGGCTTTTTTCCTCTCTTCTTGATCTACTTCTTTATGTCCAGTGCCAAGGAGAGGGCACAGCCGCCGTTGAATTGATGAATGGGGAAGAACGTTCTAGACAGAGGGAGTGACACCCACAAAGGAGGTGTGTGCGAAGCCTGGGTGGGCAAGGGCAGGAAGGGCGCTGGGTGCCTGTGCCCCTGGGTGCCCTCTCGGCTCTGGGACACTGGCATCCCGCAGTGATGGGGGGCCGTGAAGCCCACCGCTCACCACACACAGCACCATGGGGGTCTGCTTCCGACCACGGCTGACAGCTACCATCAGCAAGCGTAAAGTGCCACAGGGCAGACGGCCTCACGCGGCATCTGCTGTGGGTGGGACGGGGGTGTCAGAGAGAGACTGCCATGTGCACCTGCGTCTCTGACACACGGCGGGGGGCAGAGGGAGCCTCCAGGCTTGTGGGTGGCAGAAACCGAGATCCTGGGCCTCTGCCTGGCCCGCTTCCAGAACGCTCAGCCCTGGCCGCCCTCCACCAGGATTCTTCCTGGACCCAGAGGCAATGGACTCAAAGCCCACAGCTGGGGTTAACGTTCAGCCCCAACCGCCTTGCTGCTCCACTGCCCCTCCCCTTCCATGCTAACGACCAGCTGTGCTGGGAGAGTTGGGGAAGCCAGGCCCCAGCACTTCTCGGTATGTGAGAGCCAGCAGTGGTGGGGGAGGGTTGTGGTGGAGCCGACGAACCAGGACCCGGTCCAGGGGCCCAGAAGCCTCAGCAGAGCACAGGGGTTTGTGTATCCAGGCAGGGTCCATGTATATATGTGTTGAGTGTATCTGGGGCCCGTGTGTGTGTGTATGTACATATATGTGTTGGGTATATCCAGGGCCCAAGTGTGTATATGTGTTGAGTGTATCTGGGGCCTGTGTGTGTTTGTGTATGTATTAGGTGTATCCAGGGCCCATGTGTATATGTGCTGAGTGTATCTGGGGCTCGTGTGTGTGTGTGTGTGTGTATGTGTTGGGTATATCCAGGGCCCATGAGTGTGTGTCTGTGTGTGTGTCTATGTTGAGTGTAACCAGGGCCTGTGTATGTATATATGTGTTAGTGTATTTGGGGCCTCTGTGTGTGTGTGTGTGTGTGTTTAGAGTATACCCAGGGCCCGTGTGTGTGTGTATATCTGTTGGGTGTATCTGGGGCCTGTGTGTGTGTATCTGTTGGGTGTATCTGGGGCCTCTGTGTGTGTATCTGTTGGGTGTATCTGAGGCCCGTGTGTGTATCTGCTGAGTGTATCCGGGGCCTGTGTGTATCTGTTGGGTGTATCCAGGGCCCGTGTGTGTGTGTGTGTATCTGTTGGGTATATCCAGGGCCCGTGTGTGTGTGTGTATATGTGTTGGGTGTATCCGGGGCCTCTGTGTGTGTATCTGTTGGGTGTATCTGGGGCCTGTGTGTATGTTTAGAGTATACCCAGGGCCTGTGTGTGTGTATGTGTTGGGTGTATCCAGGACCTGTGTGTATCTGTTGGGTGTATCCAAGGCCTGTGTGTGTGTGTGTTGGGTGTATCTGAGGCCTGTGTGTATGTGTTGGGTGTATCCGGGGCCCGTGTGTGTTTTTGTGTATCTGTTGGGTGTATCCGAGCCCCGTGTGTGTATATGTTGGGTATATCCAGGGCCTGTGTGTGTGTATCTGTTGGGTGTGTCCAAGGCCCATGTGTGTATGTGTTGGGTACATCTGGGGCCTGTGTGTATGTGTTGGGTGTATCCGGGGCCCGTGTGTGTATCTGTTGTGTGTATATGTGTTGGGTGATTCCGAGGCCCGTGTGTGTATGTGCTGAGTGTATCCAGGGCCTGTGTGTGTGTGTGTTGGGTGTGTCCGGGGCCCGTGTGTGTATCTGTTGTGTGTATATGTGTTGAAGATGCTGGGGGCACGTCACAGCTGGGAGTGGAAGCTGACTGTGCATCACGTAATCACACCACACTCCTAGGACTACACGTTCAAGCAGGAAAGTTATCAGTTACTCCTAAGCCTTTGGCGCTGCTCCCACTTTTTAGAACTGTCTTTTGAAACTGCTGTCGGAGCTGTGGTGCACATCTTCATGCTTCGAGCGTGCGTTTGAGCCTCACATGCGGCTCCAACCAATTCCTGGCCAAATCTCAGGACGATATCGCTTGGGGCCAAAAATCACCCTCACGCTGGACTGTCTGATGTTGGGTCCTGAGCAAGCTCTAGCCCCACCCCCAAACAGGACCTCAGAAACGGCAGCAGTAGCAGCAACAGGAACTCAAAGGCTGTCCCTTTCACATCGCCCCCGAGCGCCCGCTCCCCTCCCTGGGGCCCTGTGGGTTCCCGCAGTCCCGCCGCACCCGAGCTGAGCCGGGCAGCCACACTCACAGAATGCAGGTTGGAGAGAGAAGCAGACTTGCGAGGCGGCGTCTTCTTGGGACTGAAGGTATTCCCGAAGAGCGGCATCCTCAGTCGGCGGAGCGAGAGGCTGAGGCTCCCTTCTCCTGGGTGAGCAAAGCCAGGCACCAACAGTTGCTTCGATGACCTAAAATCCTGGTAAAGTGTCCCGTCTGCCGCCAAGTGCCAGGCAGGACGCCAGGCCCAGCGCACAGCATCTCATCTAACTCCCAGCCATCCTTTGGCAGGCGCCAGGGGAGGCGTAGGAAGACGGAGGCAGGGGTGCTTTTGAGGCAGTGGCTGAGCTGCCTCGGGACAGAGTTCAGTATCCGAGAGCCCTCGCTCCAGCCCCGACGGCTCCACTTCCAGCCCAGCTTCCTGCTAACACACCCTGGCACTGGTGATGGCTCTGGTATCTCGGTCCCCCTCATATGGCAGATGGCAGGGATGGGGTTCTGGCTCCTGGCTTTGGCCTGGTCCAGCCCTAGCTGTTGCAAGGGTGTTTGGGCACTAAGCCAGTAATGGGAGGTCTTTGCCTTTCAAATAAAATGAAAATTAATAAAAAATTTTGGAAACCCACATGGACTGTGGGGCAGTGTCGTGGCAGGAGGAGTTAAGCCATCACTTGAAACTCCAGCGTCCCACACCTGAGTGCCAGCTTCAGTCCTGGCTGCTCCGTTTCCAGTCCAGCTTCCTGCTATGTGCCTGGGAGGGCAACAGCCCAAGTACGTGGGTCCCTGCCACCCATGTGGGAGACCACAGAGTTCCAAACTCCTGGCTTCAGCCTGGCCCAGCCCCGGCCATTGCAGCCATTTGGGGAGTGAACCAGTAGATGGAAAATCTCTTTCTTTCTTCCTCTGTCAGTTTGCCTTTCAAATAAATAAAAAACAATCCTAAAAAAAACCCCAAGGCTGAGGTCTTCGGCCCAGGTCGGAGTGGCGCTGCAGTCCATGGCAACTGCAGGCAGGCTCAGCCTGGGCTGGCGTCACCAGCTCTAAGGTCTGGAGCAGGGGGTGCCAGCCCTACTTACTCCTGCGTGCTGGTAAGAATCACTCCTGGGGCAAGGCCACCACACACTGGACATGAAGACACAAAGCTATGTTTATATGTCATGCCCAGACCCCTCGGGCCGTACGGCAGACGGCTGCCTGCCCTGTCTGGGAGGTGAGCTGTCCAGAGGAAGGGGTAAAGCCCCCAACAAGGCCATGCTGACACTGGCCCCTGTGTGTTTGCTATCAGCATACTGTGACCTACTGTGGCTCACACGGCCCGGTGACGCAGGTGTACCGACAGTCCCAGGTTCAGTGGGAGGGCGGAAGGGAGAGGTCAGCTCTCTAAGTGGAACGTAAATACAGGATAGTCTACAAGCTCTGTGTGCAGTGCTTCAGGTTTACTGGCCACACACACCACCCCCTACACACATACACATACACCACACACACCCCATACACACTGCACCCCCCCCCCCACACACCCCACCCCCACCCCCACCCTGCAGCTGGCGGAGAACACTGCTGCACCCCACGGGGCCCACCACTGCCTACACCTGAGATCCCGCTGCGAGGTTCACCCCTGTTGTCCTGTGCGGCTGTGGCTTGTGCAGTGCTGTCTTCCCAGAACATTCACAACGTAGCTGTCTACCAGTGACAGATACCGGGACTGCTTCCAGCTTTTCTATCAAAGATAGTGCTGCTAAGAACAGGCCTGGACACGCGCTTCTGCACTCGTATTTAAACTCCCGGTTCTGTAACAGGCAGAGGGTCAGGCGTCACAGAGCACTGAGTCAGCCGTAAGGAGACTGCCGAACCGCTTTCCTCCGCAACTGCTATTCCTATCTGCACGCATGAGGTGGCCCTGTCCGTGTCCGACATTTTTTGTGCCTTTCATTTGATCATCTTGTGGGTTTGTGGCAGTATTGTAATGTTTATTTGCTTTTCCCCAATAACAAATCAAATTGGATACCCTTTCATGTATTTTTCTTTTCCTTTTTTAAAATAAACATGTATTTCTAGTTTAAGGTTTATTTATTTGAAAGGCAGAGAGAGAGAGAGAGAGAGAGAGAGAGAGGTCTTCCATCTGCTGGCTCACTCCCCAGATGGCCGCAATGGCTGGAGCTGCACAGGAGCTTCTTCCGGGTCTCCCACGCGGGTGCAGGGGCCTGAGGACTTGGGCCATCCTCCCCTGCTGTCCCAGGCCACAGCAGAGAGCTGGATCAGAAGTGGAGCAGCCGGGTCTCAAACTGGCGCCCACATGGACGCCGACACTGCAGGGGGCGGCTTTAGCTGCTGCGCCACAGCGCCGGCCCCGTATTTTTCACATTCAGGTCATGGGACAGATATTCTCTTTAGTGACATGCTTATTCAGCCTTCTGCTATTTTTCTAGTCTTTTCCTTACTGATTTTTTGTCATTTTCTGATTGACAGGTAAGGTTTATTTACACATGCTGAACACTATTCCTCTGTGTATATACGTACAGTATTGTCTTCTCATAATCTGTAACTTATCTATTTTTTTTATTGATTTCTTTTGACCAAGTAAGTTAATTTCAATGAAATCCAATTTACTGTTATTAAATTAGTGTTTTATCTCCCATTTAAGAAATGATGATTTTTTAATGTTAACTTCTGGTAATTTTATTGTTCTACCTATCTCATTGGGGAGTACAATCCACCTGAAGACACCTTTTGTATGCGGTATGAGACGGGGGTGAGGGTTCATTCTCCCATATACCAGAGAACTTTACCTTATGACACACAGTAGCTTAAAAAGACTGCTTTTAAAGAGAATAGCAGAGCACTTTTCTTGCTCTTAGGTATAAAGTCTTTCTTCACAATATGTGATAAAACCGGTAATGAGTTAATCATATCTCACAAGAAACTGGCCAAAATGTGGAACAGGGATGTCTCAAGACGATCCAAAACAAGGTTTTACATCAACTATCATTGGAAGATAATTCACAGGGCTGGCACCATGGCATAGCAATTGTCGCCTGCAACGCCAGCATCCCGTATGGCCGCCAGTTCAAGCCCCGGCTGCTCCACTTCTGATCCAGCTCCCTGCTGTGGCCTGGGAAAGCAATAGAAGATGGCCCAAGTGCTTGGGCCCCTGCACCCACGTGGGAGACCCGGAAGAAACTCTTGATTTCTGGCTTTGGCCTGGCCCTTCCCTGGGAGTTGCAAGCATTTCAGGAATAGACCAGAGATGGAAGCTTGCTCTCTCTCTGTAACTCTACCTTCCAAGTTAAATAAATCTTTTTTTTTTTTTTTAAGATTTATTTTATTTATTTGAAAGACAGAATTACAGAGAGAGGTAGAAACAGAGAGAGAGGTTTTCCATCCGTTGGTTCACTCCCCAGATGGCTGCAATGGCCAGAGCTGTGCTGATCCGAAGCCAGGAGCCAGGAGCTTCTTCCGGGTCTCCCATGTGGGTGCAGGGGTGTAAGGACTTGGGCCATCTTCTACTGCTTTCCCAGGCCACAGCAGAGAGCTGGATCGGAAGTGGAGCAGCTGGGATTAGAACCGGTGCCCATATAGGATGCCAGCACTTCAGGTCAGGGCTTTAACCCGCTGCGCCACAGCACCAGCCCCTCAAGTAAAATAAATCTTTTTAAAAAAAAAAAAGATACCTTCTCACATATCTAAAGAAAAGTTCACAGTATGACTCCACCACAGCAAGCAAGACGCGTACTCAATGGGAACAGAAGGAAATCTGTTATTCCCACCGAGGTGGGTGAGATCAGTGGTTAAGGCTTGGAGGGCTGTTGGGAACTTGGTAATATGTACTGCAGAAGTACACACGAACATGTACGGTCTTTGGGGGTGCTCACCACGGTCGTACTGGTAGATGGGTGCTGTGATGAACTGCAGACCAGCAACCCAGGGCCGCGGCTGGGAACGTCGGGCCCCGCCAAGGACGTAAAGGTCAGTAACTCTGCAGCAGGCTAACTTTCAAGCCGATGACTTTGTATGACCGGTGAGTGGTGTTGTCAGTGCCCAGCTGGTTCCCCACCCTGACAGGGACGGCGTCTGGACCTGGGCACAGCACCTGAGGACTTGGCAAATCCGAATTTTCCTGGCTCAGTGATGGAGATGACGGGGATGAGGGCGGCCGAAGCTCTGTTACCACCCAACCCACGCCACAAGGCCCTGCACTGGGTCTGCAGGGGGCAGGGGGGACGGATTCATCTTGTGTCCGAGAAGGCAGAACAAGAAGAAAATGGGAACAATCTCCAGGAAGACTTTTTATTTTTTTAATTAATTTTATTTATTTAAAAGTCAGAGTTACACAGAGAGAGAAGGAGAGAGAGAGAGAGAGAGAGAGAGAGAGGTCTTCCATCTGCTGGTTCACTCCCCAACTGGCCACAATGGCTGGAACTGTGCCAATCTGAAGCCAGGAGCCAGGAGCTTCTTCCCAGTCTCCCACACAGGTGCAGGAGCTCAAGGACTTGGACCATCTTCCACTGCTTTCCCAGGCCTAGCAGAGAGCTGGATCGGAAGTGGAGCAGCCGGGACTCGACCGGCACCCATATGGGATGCGGGCACTGCAGGCGGCAGTCTCACCTGCTGTGCCACAGCAGGACTGGCGCCGTGGGCACTGTGGGTGCAGCTGCTGCTCCACTTCCTGCTAACGCATCTGGGAAGGCAGCAGAGAACGGTCCAAGGACTGGGGCCCCTGCACCCACGCTGAAGACCCAGACGGAGTTCCTGGCTCCTAGCTTGGGCCTGACCCAGCCCTGGCCACTGGCGGAGTGAACCAGTGGATATAGAAGATCTCTTTCCCTGTCACGCTGCTTTTCAAATAAATAAAGTAAATCTTTAAAAATAAAAAACAAACAGAACAACCAGGGTAAAGTAACAAAACCCAGTGTCGCGTCCCGCGCGTGAGCTGTGGGTCAGGGCTGGCAGGGGACACCCAGGGGCTCACGCTTCTTTCACTGGTCACAGCACCCCCGAGAGGAAGGATTTTCTTTTCTTTTCTTTTTTTTTTTTTTAAAGATTTATTTATTTATTTGAGAGGCAGAGTTACAGACAATGAGAGGGAGAGACAGAGAGAGAGGTCTTCCTTCCGTTGCTTCACTCCCCAAATGGCTGCTAAGGCTGGCGCTGCGCTGATCCGAAGCCAGGAGCCAGGTGCTTCTCCTGGTCTCCCATGGGGTGCAGGGCCCAAGCACTTGGCCATCCTCCACTGCACTCCCGGGCCACAGCAGAGAGCTGGCCTGGAAGAGGTGCAACCGGGACTAGAACCTGGCGCCCATATGAGAAGCCGGTGCTGCAGGCGGAGGGTTAACCAAGTGAGCCACGGCGCCGGCCCCAGAGGGAGGGATTTTCCTCTTCACATCAGCGAGAAGCTGACCAGTTTTCCAAGCTGCACAGGCGAGCTCGGCTGGCTAGAGGTACACATCAAGTTGTCTGCGCTAACTTGCGAGGCGCGCCCTGAGAAGCAGCATTTACGCATCACACCGGTGACAACGATTCGTAAAACCTAAGCTGCGATAATTCTTTCAAGAGCAACTAGGCAGACTTAGCAAAATTTTTAATGTGCACTTTTTTTAAAAAAAGATTTATTTATTTACTTCAAAGTCAGAGTTAGAGAGAGAAGGAGAGGAAGAGAGAGAGAGAGAGAGAGAGAGAGAGGTCTTCCATCCAATGGTTCACTCCCCAATTGGCTGCAACAGCTGGAGCTGCGCCGATCCGAAGCCAGGAGCCAGGAGCTTCTTCCGGGTCTCCCACACGGGTGCAGGGGCCCAAGGACTTGGGCCATCGTCCGCTGCTTTCCCAGGCCACAGCAGAGAGCTGGATCAGAAGTGGAGCAGCCGGGTCTCGAACTGGCGCCCATATGGGATGCCGGCACTACAGGCGGCGACTTTACCTCTATGCCACAGCACCGGCCCTAAATGTGCATATTTTAGACAGCAAAGTTACTTCTAAAATTTTATCCTCCAGAACGACTTGGACATACACAAATGTTCTTTATTGTTGATAACAGTTAAAAATAAGAGGGGGCAGAGGGCCGGCGCTGTGGTGTAGCGGGTAAAGCCGCCGCCTGCTGTGCCAGCATCCCCTATGTGTGCCAGTTTAAGACCCCGCTGCTCCATTTCTGATCCAGCTCTCTGCTGTGGCCTGGGAAAGCAGCGGACGATGGCCCAAGTCCTTGGGCCCCTGCACCCGTGTGGGAGACCCGGAAGAAGCTCCTGGCTCCTGGCTTCAGATCAGTGTGGCTCTGGCCGTTGCGGCCATTTGGGAAGTGAACCAGCGGATGGAAGGCCTCTCTTTTTCTCTCTTTCTCTTTCTCTCTCCCTCCATCTCTCGGCCTCTCCTCTGTGTAACTCTTTTAAATAAACAACTAAATCCTAAAAAAAAAAAAAATTAGGAGGGGCAGGAATCTGGCCTGGCAGTGAGGCTGCCACTCGGGGCGCCTGCATCCCTGGCAGAGGCCTGGGTCTGAGTCCTGGCCCTGCTCCTGGTTTCCTGCCAGCGCCCTGCGAGGCAGCAGGATTTGGTGATTGGGTCCCTGGCCCTGCCCTGGATGCTGTGGGCATCTGGAGTGAGCTTGTAGATGGGAGCTCTGTTGGACTTTCTCTCTGCTTCTCAAACAAATTAAATAAAAATTAGAAATAACTGGGTGGCGCCGCGGCTCACTGGGCTAATCTTCCACCTGCGGCGCCGGAACCCCAGGTTCTAGTTCTGGTTGGGGCGTTGGGTACTAGTCCTTATAGCTCCTTTTCCAGTCTAGCTCCCTGCTGTGGCCTGGGAGCGCAGTGGCGGATGGCCCAAGTGCTTGGGTCCCTGCACCAGCATGGAGACCGGGAGGAAGCACCTGGCTCCTGGCTTCGGATCAGCGCGGCACCGGCTATAGCGGCCATTGGGGAGTGAACCAACGGAAGGAAGACTTTTCTCTCTGTCTCTCTCTCACTGTCTGTAACTCTCTCTGTGTCTCTCTATCTCACTGTCTAACTCTGCCTGGCAAAAAATAAAAAGAAAAAAGAAAAAATAACTAAAAAAGAAAAAAAAAGAAGCAATCCAAAATGAGCACCTGTGGTTGGCAGGGGCCAAATAAACTGTGGCCCATTCCCATGTGGATCAGCAGGCAGCAATCACACAGTGAGCCGTGTGAGGGCTGACAGCTGAAAGACTTCCCACACACCTCGACACAAGGAAAGCAAGTCGGGGTCAGCAGTGTAGGCTAAGCCTCTGCCTGCAACGCTGACATCCATGTGAGTGCCGGCTCAAGACACAGCTGCTCTACTTCCAATCCAGCTCCCTGTTAATGTGCCTGGAAAGCAGAAGATGGCCGGAGTCCTCAGGCCCCTGCACCCACGCCCGGAAGAAGCTCCGGCTCCTGGCTTTGGCCTGGCCCAGCTCCGGCCCAGCCCTGGCAGTTGAAGTCATCCGGGTAGCAAACCAGAGGATGCAAAAATTTCTCTCTCCCTTTAACTCTGCCTTTCAAACAAATAAAAACAAATAAATAAAAATCTTTAGAAAGCAAGTCGCAGAACAATTTGTATAATACAATCCCATATGAGAAGACAAAAAATGCAATTATATATACATATAAAGAAAAAAACAGAAAAAGATCAGAAAGGACACATCGAAGTCTCCCAGTGGCTCAGGCTGGGAAGGGAACGGGGAGTGACCTGGATGACCCTGCCGCTTCATGGGTCTACAAATGGCCGGAAGTGGCAATTTCATAAGGTACAATACAAACAACATATACTTCTGTATTTCATGAACCCCTACCATGAAAATCTATTCATGGACAACAACAGAAAAGTTGAAAAGTCTGCCCTGCCCTTCCTGGGGACGCCTAAAGAAGGCAAAACACGCCGGGCTGTTCTTGCCAGGGTGCCAGCTGGGCTAGGAGCAGGTGCCCGCGCCGCTGACCGGGCCACAAGGAAGCCCGGCCCCCGGAACACGCTCACCCACCCCTCGCTGCTGCACCTCGAGGGGTGTTGACCGGGGCCCCTCACCCCTGGGGTCATGGGCACTGCGCGGGAGGAGACGGGTGAACCCAGGGGCCCGGGGTGGCTCCGCCGGCCGTGACACTCCGGGGGAGAGGACTCAGCACGGCCCGGACGCCCCTGCACGGGGACCTGCGCCACAGGCGGCCGTGTCCGCACTGGCGCCTTGCAGTTCCACGGACACCCACGCTTCCCACCCCCGCCTTGCAGATCCACGGACACCCACGCTTCCCACCACCGCCTTGCAGATCCACGGACACCCACGCTTCCCACCACCGCCTTGCAGATCCACGGACACCCACGCTTCCCACCACCGCCTTGCAGATCCACGGACACCCACGCTTCCCACCACCGCCTTGCAGATCCACGGACACCCACGCTTCCCACCACCGCCTTGCAGATCCACGGACACCCACGCTTCCCACCACCGCCTTGCAGATCCACGGACACCCACGCTTCCCACCACCGCCTTGCAGATCCACGGACACCCACGCTTCCCACCACCGCCTTGCAGATCCACGGACACCCACGCTTCCCACCACCGCCTGGCAGATCCACGGACACCCACGCTTCCCACCACCGCCTTGCAGTTCCACGGACACCCACGCTTCCCACCACCGCCTTGCAGATCCACGGACACCCACGCTTCCCACCACCACCTTGCAGATCCACGGACACCCACGCTTCCAACCCCCGCCTTGCAGATTCACGGGCACCCACGCTTCCCACCACACAACGCTCGCGGCGGGCCACGGGCACGCGGTCTTGTCTTTAACTCCAGCCGGACGCCGAGGGGCCTCGACGGGCTCGCGTACCCAACCCCCAGCCAAGTTCGCGGCTCCGGGCCGTCCGACTCCAGGAACGTCCTCACCGGGGTCCCACTTACGGGGCGGGGTGGGGGACGCCCCTCGCGACACGGCAGGGCGGCCTCCGTCTGCCCTTTCCCCGCTCCCGCCCGCCGCCCCTCTCCCGGGCAGCCCCGCTCGGAGCCTCCCTGCTCGGCTCTGCCGGACTCGCAGACCTACCTGACGCTCCCCAGAAGTCGGGGCCGAAGCGCACCCCGAGACCTCCCGCCAGGGTCGTGCTCGGGTCCCCGTCACCGGCCGCGACCACCGGCGGCTAGCCTCTCCTGGCAGCGCGCACGCGCGGCCCCGCCCCGGACTCCACCATCAGGGAAAGACGGGGGTGCCCGGCGCGGCGGGGTCCCTAACGCGGGCGTACGAAGCACCAGAGACCCTCGCAGTCTACCCCGACTTATGTTACATAGACAAAGCAAATGTCTTCCGGAGCCACTGACACGCCCTGCGTCACAGGCTAGGACGAAGGACTACTCTCACCGTCCCCACAAACACATTGGTCCGGTCCCCCAGAAACCCGCTGGCCGTCACCATGGTAACGGCGTCTCGCCGGCCCCCGCGGGACTGGCGACCCCGGCATTGTGGAGGGGAAGGTGAGAGTGGTGACGCCAGCGCCGGCCGTCGCCAGGTAAACGCCGAGACTCACGTTGGCACAATGGGCGCCGCCCGACCGCGAGGCAGAAGGCCCCAGCGCCGGGTGCAGGTGCACGCGGGTGCCGCGGCGACGGGCGCCGGTCCGGAGCTCTGCGGGGTGTCCCGCCCCGGGTGCGTCGGAATCCGCCGGTTCCTTCAGGTAAGACCCGCGGGCCCTGCGCGGGCCTGCGGCTCCCCACGCGCGTGCGGACGCCCAGCGGCTTCTGCGGGCGGGACTCCTGGCGAGCAAGGCGCGAGGCCTCCTGGAGTGAAGACCCTCCGTCACCCATGGGCGCTCCCCGACCGGCTGCCGAGTGTCGTGGGTGACGGCCGGGACCCCAGGGCTCTGTGTCCCCCAACGACACCGCGCGGCCGGCGCCCTGGCTCCGAAATCTGCACGAAGCAACCGAGCCCTGCCCGGGACTCACGCGCAGCAAGCCGCGCGTGTCGTTTGGAATCGTGCAGTGACGACCGGGGAAAGAGCGTCGTGTTTAACACCCGTGTCCCAGACATCATTTCACTACGTATTCAATATTTCACATTTCGCACCTCTTCGGTGCCTCGGTTTTTAGGTTTAAATTCATTAAAAATTGACTTCCTGCAGTGCGCTCTCGAGATTCCGGGGCCACATCACGCCAGGCCACTGTGATGGACCGCACTGTCCAGCTGCTCCCGCTGGGACGGGATTGCCCCCCCCCCATCTCATTAACCCCTGCGCTTCCTCCAACGCCTTCATCCCAAGGGCTGCGCGCCTCCCCTGCTGAAGCAGCTAACAATCCGTAGCGATTCACGTTGTAACTCACAATTGCTTAGGCTATTTTTTTTTTTTTTGACAGGCAGAGTGGACAGTGAGAGAGAGAGAGACAGAGAGAAAGGTCTTCCTTTGCCGTTGGTTCACCCTCCAATGGCCGCCGCGGCTGGCGTACTGCGCTGATCTGAAGCCAGGAGCCAGGTGCTCCTCCTGGTCTCCCATGGGGTGCAGGGCCCAAACACTTGGGCCATCCTCCACTGCACTCCCGGGCCACAGCAGAGAGCTGGCCTGGAAGAGGGGCAACCGGGACAGAATCCGGTGCCCTGACCAGGACTAGAACCCGGTGTGCCGGTGCCGCAAGGCGGAGGATTAGCCTAGTGAGCCGCAGCGCCGGCCAGGCTATTTTTTTATAAGTGGGTTTTTTGTTTGTTTGAGAGTCAGAGAGAAACACAGAGCTGGGCAAAAGCCAGGAGCTTGGAGCTCAGTCTAGGTTTCCTGTACGTCTTCTTAAAGTTCTTTCTTTTTTTTTTTTTTTTTTTAAGATTTATTTATTTATTGAAAGGCAGAGTTAGAGAGAGACAGAGGCAGAGAGAGGGAGGGGGTCTTCCATTTGCTGGTTCACTTTCCAGATGGCCACAATGGCCACAGCTGGGCCAATCCAAAGCCAGGAGCTTATTCTGGGTCTTCCCATGCGCATACAGGGGCCCAGGCACTTGGCCCATCTTCTGCTGCTTTCCCAGGCCTCAGCAGAGAGCTGGATCAGAAGTGGGGCAGCAGGGACTAGAACCGGCACCCGTATGGGATGCCGGCACTACAGGCAGTGGCTTTACCTGCTGTGCCACAGCGCTGGCGCCTTAGGTTGCTTTTTCGTTACTGTGTGCCTCCCCCAGCAGACATAAGCCCGTTAGTCAGGGTTGGCTTACCACGCTGTCCCCCGGGGAGCACTTGCTGGCTTGCGGTGGACGCTGAGTGACCGGAAGTCCGACTGTAAAGGCAGCCTTGGTCGACGTGCGGGACCTGGAGACTAAACAGTGCGATCCAAACCTCACCTGCCAGGACACGCACTGCCTGAGGGCAGGTTTTCTCTCCTACAGATATTTATGTGTTTATTTGTTTGTATTTGAAAGGCAGAGAGAGACTGCCAGGGATCTTCCATTCACTGGTTCACTCCTCGGGTGCCCACCACAGCCAGGCCTGGGCGGGGCCGGAGCCAGGAGCCAGGAGCCCGGCTGCTGTCTTCCACGTGGGCAGCAGGAACTCAGGGACAGGAGCCCTCCCCTGCTGCCTGGCAGGGAGCGTTAGCGGGAAGCTGGGGTCAGGAGCAGAGCTGCGGCTCCGGCCTCGGCTCCACTATGGGGCGTGGGCGTCCCGAGCGGCGTCTTAGCCCCTGTGCGAGCACCTGCCCCAGCTTCTTATCTGCTCATCCGCCCCCAGCAGGAAGCACGGGCAGCCACACGCAGCCAGTGTGCTCCCGGGCCTCCTCGCTCCCCCAGGGAGCGACAGAGAACTCGTGTCCTAACATGGTACATGGAAATTTCAGGAAAGTGCAGCATGCATGTGCAACACTTCCTCCCGGAAGCTGCGATTCCCTTCTCCCAGCGGGAGAGTAATAACCACAGCCCAAAGCCAGCACCTGTTGACAGGCGCCCTAAGCCTGGCTTCCCAGAGGGCCTGTGGCTTTCCAGTCCTGGGGGCGGTGGGGCTGACAAGTCCCAAGTGTGCCTGCCCCTTCTTTCTGTCCTCCCCTTTGCCTGTTTAGCCGGGGACCAAGAGCAGGGGGCAGGAAACGGGATTGACCTGGGCCTGGGCCCCCTTTTCCGCACGCCAGCTGACCTGCAGCCCAGGGTGGACAGCCTCCCTGCACTAGAAAGAAGCATGCTGAGACAATCTAAAGGACTCACTGGGCCCGTGCTGTGCCGCAGCAGGTTAAAGCCCCGGCCTGCAGTGCCGGCCTCCCACGTGGGCGCCAGTTCAAGTCCTGGCTGCTCCACTTGCAGCCCAGCTCCCTGCTGATGTGCTTGGGAAAGCAGCCGAGGATGGCCCAAGTGCTTGGGCCCTGCACCCACGTGGGAGACTTGGAAGATGCTCCTGGCTCCTGGCTTCAGATCGGCTCAGCTCCGGCCATTGTGGCCATTTGGGGAGTGAACCAGCAGGTGGGAGACCTCTCTCTCTGTCTCTCTCTCTCTCTGTCTCTATCCCTCTCTGTAATTCTGCCTTTCAAATAAATAAAATATATCTTTAAAAAAATAAAATAAAAAGAATCACACATTGAGTGAACCCAGTCCCCAAGGGGTAGTTTGCATGATGGCCACAGATGTAGACGCCAGTCCTCGCAGTTTCAATTGTAAATGCTGTGACAGGTGAAGGTGGAGCCCTGGGCCTCACAGAGGCCGTGTGGCGCTAACTGCCTGGAATAGCACCTTTCCCGGAGACAGACTGACGGTGGGAACGGCACGGGCAAAGGCACGGAGGCACGGACAGCATAGCGAGGTTGGGCAATGGGAAGAAATTGAGTGGGCCGGGCACATGGAGGCGTGGCTGGGAGAGGACCCCACCCAGAGAAGAGGCAAGGAGGGCCTTTCGAGAGGAAACCTTGCTGAGATTTTCCACCAAACTCCGTGCTCCCTTTAGATTTGAGCTTCCTGAGGGCAGGATGTAAGTAACCCTTACAGGAAGTCCCGTCACACTGGGGGCCCCCAGACGGTTTGACTGGACCCCGGCCAACAGGCCAGGACTCAGATGAACAGCCAGGCCACGGGGATCAGGGCCGAGGAGGAGCCAGGGCCTGGGGCCAGCGGAGCCGGAGCAGAAAGCCCGGGTGGATCGTGCTGTGCCCATGGGGCCGGGGCCTGGGGTCAGAGCTGCTGGGAGCTGGGGAGGGCCTTGGGTCACCTAGTCCAGATCTCTTGCTTTTACAGTTGAGGCTGAGAGAGGCAAAACAATTTTGATTTCATTTCTGATGTGGAAACTGACTTGTCGGGAGAGTGGAACCTTGGCCTTCTCAGCATCTCGGGTCTCCCTATTTTATTTTATTTTTAAAAGATTTTATTTATTTATGTATCTGAGAGGTAGAGTTACAGACAGACAGAGGGAGAAACTGAGAGAGAGAGAGATTTTTCATCCGTTGGTTCACTCCCCAAATGACCACAACAGCCAAAGCTGGGCCAATCCAAAGCCAGGAGCCAGGAGCTTCTTCCAGGTCTCCCACGCGGGTGCAGGGGCCCAAGCACTTGGGGCATCTTCCACTGCTTTCCCAGGCCACAGCAGAGAGCTGGATGGGAAGAGGAGCAGCCGGGGCAGGAACCAGCTCCCATATGGGAAGCCAGCTTAGCCTACTTGCCACAACGCCGGCCCCCAGGTCTCCTTATCTTGAAAACTAGAACAACTTCATCGTGAATGGTGGGGTGAGCCGGCCTCGGCAGGTGGGAAGTCCAAATGCATTGAAATTCTCAGATGAGCACGGGCCTCTGAGACGCACGCCGGCCCTGCCTGTGTGCCCCGACTCACGCCTGGCCACCAGCGCTGCTGGGCGGGGAGCACACGGGGCCTTTCCCTCTGGTGTTTCCACAGAAGCTTCTGCCCGCGGTGGGATTTGCAGGAGGCTGAGTCAACAGAGAGCGAGGCTGGGAACGAGAGGCTTGTGAGAGCGGAACTTCCGTTCACACAGCCTGGGCCATGGAGCATTTCCGGAAGACGGACAACATCAACGTCACCACCTTGCCCATGATCCCCATGGATGAGAACCTGACCATCTCGCTGGCCACTCGGAATGCAATCAAGGAAGCTGTGAGGAAGGACCTGGAGAACAACCCACCCTGTATCCTTTGGCCGGCGGCGGCCGTGGCTACACAAAACACACCTGGCTGAGTCACAGGTGTGCGTGTGTGCGCGCGTGCGTGGGATCAGGGCTCACGTCTACAATACAGACGGCTTCTTAGCCCATCCCTTACACTTTCATTAGTTTGTTTGCAACCATTTAAGCCCCACCTGTCCTCTGAAAGAATGTGAGACTGAAGGAAGGGCGCTTTGGCTTCAGTTTTCTTTCTTTCTTTCTTTCTTTCTTTCTTTCCTTTCCTTTCCTTTCCTTTCCTTTCCTTTCCTTTCCTTTCCTTTCCTTTCCTTTCCTTTCCTTTCCTTTTCTCTTTCTTTCTTTTCTCTTTCTTTCTTTTTTTTTTTTTTACTGGGTACTCAGCCTAAAAGGAAGCAGCCCAGGAAATGTTTGTTGAAAGCATGGGAAAGAAAAAGGGGAAAGCGCGTCTCTTAGTGTCTCCCCCTTCCCCTCCTGCCTTCCAGAGTTCTGCTAGCTGGGACTGTCAGACCTGGCTCCCAGGAAGCCAGGGCCGGCCGCCCTCAGACAAGTGAGCGCGAGGCCCAGCCTCTTTGTTTCAGTCCTGTCCGCCGGGCCTCTTCTCCCTGGGCCCAGAGTTTGTGCCTTCTGACGTCACCCAGGCCCCACCAGCACCTGACTTCCGGGGTCCCGTCTGGCCTGGAACCGTCTCCAGGACCACAGAGCTGTGTCTCTAGGGCGCCTGGGTGCAAGTCCAACACAGATCCCTCTCGGGTTATAAATAACCCAGGTCTTTCCACCTCATTCAGAGCTCATTCACCTTCAAGGCACGCGTGTCGCCGCGCCCCTCGCCGCCCATGCCTCTCCAGAACCCTCGTCGCGACCGGGCGCCTGCCTCGGGGCCTGCCTCTGCTGCCCTCCTCCTCACGCCCCTCTCTCTTCTTAATCCCACACGCGTCTCGCCCCGACTAGCCCGTTCCACTTCGGCCGTTTGTCCTGTCCCTGGCGTGCTCGCCCGCTCCACTTCCCGCCGCTTGTCACGTCTGCTCCTAGCGCCCTTCTCTGTCGAGTGCCCTCCGGTCTGTGAGAACACTTGAGAGTAATGGAAGTGCGCGCGAGCCTGGCCGTGCGTGGAGGCAGCGAGGGCGACGGGATTACGGGGCTTTCGCAGAGCAGGTGAGACGCAGAGGTCAGCTGGGAACAGGAGGCCTGGGCAGGTTTCAGCAGTGACGAGCAAGATCGGAACCCCCTCCGGCTCAGTCACCCGCACCTGAAAATCTCTTAAAGAAACACTCCCCAGATGTGGGAATTCTCTGCCCGCCAGGCGCGTCGCAGCGCTCACTGCAAACAAGCGTTCAACAACCGAGGAACAGGTGCCTGCCGATCGATGGGGTCATTGGGCCGATCTTGCTTAGCCACATGGAGAGGGCTCACAGTAATGAGTGGAAAAGAAATCGGAGGAGAGAACCAGGCAAATACTGGCATTGGAGTCCTGTGAAGTATGTACAGGGTACTTCCAGAAGTTCATGCCAAAACAGGGTTAAAAGACGAGTTAATTTTGGTGCAAAAAACTTGGAATCCGTGCATGGCTTTTTCAGAATGCACATTTCCCGTGAACTTTCCCTCGTATGAAAAGACCCAAAGCATGGGAAGGAAGTCTCTCCAGCTT